GCAGAGAAGAAAGGTATTCCTTTCCGTATCTGTTCCAAAATTCACTGGCAAGGTACTGTACTCTTCGCCAACGACGAAGTAGATATCTATCAGCCTTTTGAAATACACCTGGAGGGGGTAATAGAACTCTAGATTTCAAAGTTAGGATATGACTAGGTGTGAGTGGCTCTGGTGCAGTAGCATCATTGATGCTTTCAACAGAGAGTGGCCTTGCATTAACAATGCATTCTACTTCAGTCAAAAAAGTCCTGTAGGACTCATCACATAAAATATGTCGAAACTGTATCATCAAAGGCTCAAGAGCAGATTTTACTGTTCTTATTTGCCTTTCTATAACACCAGACATTGCTGAGGGAACTGTAAATTTAAATTAAAAAAGTCACATTTTTTCTGCGAAAGAAAGTTCCTAATTTTATCATGATTCATTTCCAACAATGCCCTTTTCAACTCGTTATTGGCACCAACAAAGTTGGTTCCACAATCACACCTCAATTGTGAAATAGGACCCCTGCGAGCCAAAAACCTTCTTAAAGCATTAATAAAAGAATCAGTACTAAGTGAATTCAGCGATTCAAGATGAATCGCTCTTGAGGACATGCAGGTAAATAGAACACAATAACGTTTCAAAATCGAACGTCCATCTTTTATCTCATAAACCCCAAAAAACATCACAACCTGAAAAGGTAAAGAGGGCATGGGCATCCAACCTATCATCAGGCAAATCAGCCATTTTTTGGTTCTGCAAAGAACCTCTCAATTTCCTGCAAAAAAACACAATTATTAATAGCCCGTGAAACAACAGAATGCCCATTTATAATCCAAAAACCATTCTGACGAATACAATTCAAAGTAGTATAACGGCCCATATGATTAACATGGTTGTGAAAATGCCTCACTATCAAATCGGTAACATGAGACTTTTTGGCCAGAATGATCGGATGTTTAACCTCAAATCTTCCATCATAATTCACAATCCGACCACCAACTCTTACTAGACCCTGTTGATCTAGCATAGGATTCAGTTTGTTCAACTGACTGTTTCTTTTGATTGTTCGCTTCTCTTCGCCAGATAAGGATGGCTTATCCAATGACGGTGTTTTCACCGAATGAAGTCTTAATCCATTAATATCTGGTATTTTTTGTTTGTTGATGAACTCCTGAAGTATTGGGTCTGGGTTGAGTGCAGACAGGCTGTGCACCCTTTTCTTTTGCATTTAGTGAGAGAGAGAGAGTTTATTTCATTTTGTCAAACCAAGAAAACAATATATACATAACAAAATTAAAAAATGTTTTCGGTACATGACTGGGAGGCAACGATACGACCTTTGGAGGTCATCAGAGTCAGTTGCCACCCAATTCAATAAACATAAAAAATAATAAACAGGTTCGGTGTGAATCTATTAATACCTCTCATGTTTGTTTACTATATGCAATATTTACATGTTTTATTATCAAAGCGAAAACTATGGTATACGGTTCTTTCAACTGACCGAAATTCTACACATATTGAATTTGCTTTCCGAAATATAAACTGCTTAGTGGAGCCCAGGTACTCTAATAAGATACGATTTATTAGGGTAATTTGTAAACTTATGGGCGAAGATAAGTTAATACAGAACATGCAGGATTTGGAACAAGGGTGGAGTTCCATTATAACATACACATACTAGTGTTATATAATCAGAAGCACGAGTTGGATCATAGAAACAATACAGATTTTTGTTGTATACAAATTGCATTTATTTGGACAAGGCCATTCATGCAAATATTTAGGTAAAGTGTTGACCTAGCAAAAATAAATTAATATTAAATTCAATATAATCAATACAGTCGGTAATAAACTATAAATCAAGTGAATAAAAGACACGTAGTGTACTGCAAATCGTTTCCGTAAACAATTAATTCAAAAAAATGTTGTTCTGGTGTACTGCAGTTTGTTTCCCCGACGTGAAGTAATTATTCAATTAATTAATTACTGTAGTGGTGGTCACGCTGTCCCAACACTAAAACGGTGTCCACTTGGATGACAGTGTGCCACAGATGTTGATACTAAAAATTAACTTGTGGACGCGGTCTTTTTCTTATTATGCTCTGACGGGACAGCACCTTCACGAACGAATATTACAGCCTGTGCTCTCCAAATCCCCATAAATAACAGTCGACTTGACTGGATACAATCAAATGTATTATAACTTGGAAAACGTGTAACAGTCGCTCAAGGATTGCAAAATCAGGTTGAACACAATAACACTCGCCAACAGTTGGTGAGGTACGAAAAACCGGGAATTAATTATAGTGTCACTCGGGTATAAACAAATGCAGTACCAATAGATTTCTAAACAGTAAGAAAACATAATTGTTACACCTACAGTCTTTTTCTTATTATGCTCTGACGGGACAGCACCTTCACGAACGAATATTACAGCCTGTGCTCTCCAAATCCCCATAAATAACAGTCGACTTGACTGGATACAATCAAATGTATTATAACTTGGAAAACGTGTAACAGTCGCTCAAGGATTGCAAAATCAGGTCGAACACAATAACACTCGCCAACAGTTGGTGAGGTACGAAAAAGCCGGTAATTAATTATAGTGTCACTCGGGTATAAACAAATGCAGTACCAATATATTTCTAAACAGTAAGAAAACATAATTGTTACACCTACAGAAACACGAATCAATTACAAATACAAGTCCATGTTGGGAGAGCCAGAACTAAGAACGGCAGACGGAGCAATTAGCCTAACGCGCAGTACGTCGAGAACACAAGTGGTACTATCTCAAAGTCAGAAGGTGACTGCTTTATCGCAACACCTAGTGGACCTAAACCCACGGGTACGTGTGCCAATAATGCACTTCGTACATCAATGACCATTACAGTGGGACTTTGTTGAATATTCCTCTCTTTTTATATAAAATTACAATCTTGAACTTACTTTTTTGTATATCATTTTCTTCCAAGTGCCCTTCACAAATTTTCACTCGTCACGTTAATATAGGTGTTTAATATCAGAATCAGCCTGCAGACCAATCCCCTTTTTTCAAGTTAGTCTGCCCATATAAATTTTTCACCGGAACAAACCCGCTTGGATGATGGCAAAAACAGGATGCAAGATCCACTGACACTATCGCGTTGTGGAATGCAACATCGATTACTCATGTTGATGAGTGATGTGAATAAATAGCCTAAAAAGGTATAATACAAATTATGCAATTCTAAAAAAAGTAATACAAAAACGTAAAGAAGAGATAAAACGAGTTGACTTTGAAAAAAAAAAAATTGGTACTCGTGGTGTTTGGTAAATCTGTGAATACTATCAGACTATAGTGCTGGTATGTTAGTCGTAAGTTATAATAGTAGAATTATATCTCCTAGAATGGAGGGTATGTAACTAAAAGGATCGTAACCCAGTACCGGACTCACAGAACATAAGAAATAAAGTAGCCTATGCCCCAGGTTACAATAATCGGGTAGAATATTGCAGTATTGATGTGTTTCATAGAACGCCAAGTTACCGTACCGTACCTGCGTTGTCTTGAGGGGGGAATACTAGTTGAAGCCGAAAAGTAAATCTAATCTATCTTGAAATAAACTAAAGAGACCGAGCTTAAGATGGACAACCGGCATTTGATTAAAGTATTGAACCAACCTAATGAAATACTATAAGCTGCTGAGCTAAAAATATACAGCGAGACATTTTGTGCACATACCACGGTCTTCACCAATCTCCGCGCAAATCAAGTGGTCGCAATGGAGCGTGGAGCTGCAAAAACTTGTAACGCAAATAACTTTGTTTGTTTTATTAATGTGGGCGTTGCTCTCTGGACTAGTTTCATCCCCCTGCCTATAACAAAGTATAGGGAGAATCATCCTGGGATGGGGGAAACGGATAAATTGAATGATTTTTTTTTAATAATAAAAACGTCACATATATACACTATATATCAATAACATATTTATATAAACACAGTAACACAAATACAATTGCATTTAAGAAAAAATTAATTTAAAAAAAATTAAAATGGATGATTTGACAAGAGTGTGCTTTGCATATTTTACCGCGTGGGAATTATTTTAGATTGCTGACGTCTACTGGGACAATTTTCTTGATTTCGGTTTGTAACAGAATTTCTGGCAATCTGGTTGTCGCCGGATATAATAATGCAAGTGATTATGCTTAGCAGTTAAGAATTAAAATTTCTCTAGCCAGATGAGTACATTTTGAAGTTGCTACCGGTAGAGAATGGTAGGTACAGCATATACAGGCTCCAGCACCGGTGTACAGTACGGTACGGTACCGGAGATGGGCATGGCAAGCATGTTCTAATGCTTCAAGTTTGGTGCGTGGATTCAGTGATTCTTTTTCTTAGCTGAATAACAGAGATACGGTACCGTTTATGATTATGGTAATCGATTACAAGAGGGAAGGTTGTTGGTATAGACTGGTGGGTACGGTACCATATGACTCATCAGAGTCAGTTGCCACGAAATTGCATACTGTAACAGCAGGTACCGTAAAACCGGCTAACTTCGGATGATTTCACTATATTTTGAACAATATCTCCGCCGCATGTTGTTCAACTGAAGCCAAATTTGGAATATAATACATTGTGGCTATTCTCGTCTTGATAAAGTCGGTTCCATATCCATCAAAGCCTTTTTTCATTGAAATTATTGTTTTTATTCGTCTATTCTAAAATTATCTAACTTCGGATGGCCACTTTCCTCTTTGCGTCAACTCGTCGTGAGAGAGAAATGTCTGCGTAAGCAATGACGCGTGACAACGTCGCTGAATAGACCTTACGCCGCCACGACCTGTCTTGCGTGTTGAATACTGACGTTTGTACGTGACGTTACTCTTGCCGCTTCGCGAAGCTTAACTATTTATTCTTGTGTCCTTTATTATAACTCGTATATATTTCACTAACTACTCCTAATTTATTGCAAAATGCTAGTTCGTTCTTTTATGATCGTTTATTTTCAATGCAAGAAAAGGATTCACAAAAAAAAAACGGAAGAATTGAAAGTACCTAACACTGGTGTAGGTTGAAATTGAAATGCAATATGGAACAAGTAAAGAATGAACAAAAATTCGACAGTTAAAAATAAACAGATGAATTGAAGGAAACGCTGGCAAAATCAAGAATTGTATTCATTTCCACATGGGTTAGACGGGTCTTTGCAACAGTTCTTGTGGAACCAATGTGTTTCGCTGCAGCTTTCGCAACCGACCCATTCATCCTCAATTTCCGTACTTCCATTTGGATCATTCCATAATCCACAAGCAGAGCAGGTTTCGTCTTGATTATCACTTTTCATATTTTCTGATTTTCTCAGAGCTCCCCGTTGATCGGCTCGGCAGAGGTTCCTGCCCGGTGTGACTTTCGATCCTCGCTTTCGTTTCACTTATTAAAGTCAAATGACAATAAACGGATAAAAACGGCAAAAAGAAACTTTGCCACTTTTTTTCATTTTGCGCCTCACCTGTATGTGGTCCAACCTCCTGCTGTGTGCATGTATGTAGAGTTCTACGCTCACCTGTTAAAGATATTATTATCATCTGCCGATCGTAAACAGACATATCTAATCAATATGATCGTATAGATACAGGTTTCAGGCCTAACGTATTACCAATTGCTACGGTATCTATCGGTGTCGGAGGAAGTATGCAAAAACAAAAATCGACAAATTTCATATGCATTAAGCGTATGCATACCCATATTTTTAAATAAACAACATATGACTGAGACGATAGTGATGTTTTTGTAGGATTTAGTGACCAGGATCATGGATAAGCATAATTTTTAAATTTCACAAAACTGGGCGCCGCGATGTCTGGCGTTCAAATGTCGCAGCGAGTAACGCACGAGCTACGCAAAGTGACGTCGGCTACGAAGAGAGAGAACGGGATTTGCGTCGTTGACGTCACGCTGTACGTAATCATCAAAACGTCGATATTTTGATGTGATTTTTAAATCAAAATAATCGATTTTACTCGAATCTCGTACGACACCTTGTGATCACTGTATTTTTTTATATACATTGTGTACGCTCTCTAGCGCTTGGCGGTGATTTGACGAAGGTAGCGTCTGTAGAAGTCACGATTTGAGCCGCTCGAAAAAACGGTGTCATTTTTTTGGTAAAATATGATTTTTTGAATGATAAAAAACCAAATCGAGCGATTGGAGGCTACGGCAGATTCAGATATGTAAGGCCTTACTATAGAAACCGACAGAAGCGCAATACGACGAAATTTAGTTGAGATATGAATGATTGAAAATTTCATCCGAAGTTACAAGGCATCCGAAGTTAGCCGGTTTTACGGTAACTTCGGATGGTTTGTAACTTCGGATGAAATTTTTAATCAATTATATCTCGACTAAATTGCGTCATATTGTGCTTATGGCAGTTTCTACAGTGATGACTTATATATCCAAATCTGTTATCATATTCAACCGCGCAGTTTAATTTATTTTTTGATTAAAAAAATCACGTTTTAGCATAAAATTGACACTCCGTTTTCGAGCGGCGCAAATCGTGACTTCTACTGATGCTAACTTCGTCAAAATAGCGTCATTCGATAGAGTGCGTTATCAATGTATATAGAAAATTAGACTGATCGCGAGATGTCGTAGGAGACCCGATAAAAAATTAAAATTTGAATAATTTTTTTTATCACAGTAATAGCATCTGACGCACACGTTGAACTTGACGTCACCCTGACGTCGCTCACTCCGAAGACGACGTCATGTTGCGTTGTCGTTACAGATTTGACGCCAGACTTCCGGGCGCCGACGAGTTGGCGTAGATTTGAAAATAACAACGATATTTTGTTCGATTGATCAATATCGTCTAAAATATACGCATCAACAATTTTCTGTGGATCGTAAATTCATGGCGTCAAATGCTGGGAATGTAATTAATCCAAATTTATTAAAAATGGCAGTTGTATGTATTTATGTTTATTTGCCTCAAAAATGTAGGTATCTGCATAATAGTAAAACGGTATAAAAGAGACGGGATGCATGTGCAAGACCTTACTGGCCTGAGACACAGATGTGAACATGCACGAACGGGATGGGAATAGAGTATAAATCACATTTTTGTGTTTTTGACGAAAAATTGTACGAAACAAGTAAAAATTTGTTTGAGACACGAACTTGCCAAAAACCTAGCACGAAAATTCGATTTGACGATTTCAAATTTTTCCATTTGATACGGCAACATGGTTCAAAATAGAAAATTGTGAGCAGTCGGAAATATTGCGTAAATATAAAAATATATAACTGCGATAACGCTCGCAAATAGGCCGAGTTTAAAACTCAAAAAAAAAGGTGCCAAACTAAGGGACCGTCTTATTCTCGCATAACTCAGATGCACCAAAAAATCGACTCATTCGCGCATCAGAATTTGATCACGCAACGAGATGATATTATGCTAACTTGCCGGTAATTCCAAAAGCTTCAAACCATACCAAGTTCTCACGATAAAAAGCGTGCACGCACACACACGTACACACGCTTGTGAAAGTGGATTGTCTTATCGTTCAGCTGATGGCTTGTACAGGCTGTGATTGTTTGTTTTCGCTTGTGTTTCTTTTACATAACAGCAACAGTGTCGATTTACGGCCAGTTGTTTCGTGGTGAAAACTTTATTATTTGGTGCACTGTCGCCGTAGAGGCAATTAACGGCGCACGACTTTTAATCACCTTTACGATATGTTATCCGTTAAGGGGCGGTGATAAGGACTCTTATCGAAGTTAACATCCGTTAAGGGGCGGTGTGGACGATCAAAGGAAATTGTTATGCTGACTCAGGGACTCTCTTAAACTCCCTGCTTGATCCATTAATACAAATCACGCCGCATGAAAAGCAATATAGACTTTATTAACATGAATTTACAAGTAAGAGTTACGGCCGTCGCTAACAAACAGAAATGATAAACGTGAGAAATGTTTGGGTTACAGTAATTTTGTTCTCTTTCTACGTTTTTCTGGAGGCGTCCGGCGTGTCACGATTCGTAGGACCGGCTTGAGTGCGATTTTTTATAAAATCGTTGTTTTAAGGCCGTTTTTAAGGAGTCGGCCTATTCTCGATATAGGCGTAATTTCGAGTAAATACGGTAACAACAATCATTGTTGCAAGTGAGTTCTGTTACGTGAAGTTAACGAAAGTAATTTTAATAAAGTTGCCAATTTCCGAATCGGTGTTTTGTGTTTTTGATGCACGACCAACATTTAAATAGGTCAATTTAATAAAGAATTCGTGCATGCTCAATAATATATATTGTGCGACTATACATGGTGTGGAGTTTAAAAAAAGCTATCAAAACATTATCGGCTATAACAAATTCGACTATGATTGGTGAATATTCGGATCTAAAGTTACGATAAGAGAAAATAAAACATTAAAAAATAAAACAAATAAAACAAATAAGACATTTTAGTATAAAAACCACTTAAAATTGCCGCACCGGAAATCCTACGATCGACATTATCATCGTCACTCGCGACGTGGATTGAACATCTAGCATTTACGCAACGACGTAAAGCGTGTTTTGTCTTCACGCACGCACTTTTCGCTCTAATTGCGGTGACACAGGGAGAGGATACACCCATCCGAAGTTAGATATTTATTTGCTTCGGTACAAATCACAGAAAATGAGACAATTAGGACAGAAAAAACGATCTGATTGTCGAGAAAATTATAGGCAGAGAATTACATCAATGTAATATAGTTCAAGTTTGACACGAATTGGACAACAAACGGCAGAGTTAATGATTAAAATATAGTGAAATCATCCGAAGTTAGCTGCTTTTACCGTGCAGGACGTTAGTAGCATGTACAGTACTGGTATCCATGACACAATAATATGCTGTTTGTTGCGCATGGTGATTTTTTCTTGCTATGTTCCACAAAGTTTCATGCAGGCGATTTATTCAAAACCAAATCACTTAGATTAGATATGCAAAAAAATATTATTAATAAGTTTAGCAAGTATAATTATTGCTTGATCTGATTACCTGAAACGACATTTGTAAATTCATACTGGAGATTCTATGAAGTTACACATGAAGAGGTCCAATGTTGACGAAAAGCCATATTTTTGTCAAACCTGTGGCGAGTCCTTTACAACATTTGCTGAGAAGAAAATGCACATACAAATTCATACTGGAAAAAAACTATATGCTTGTAAAATATGTGGAAAACAGTTTTCTCAAACTGGTGACTTGAAACGACATTTGCAAATTCATACCGAAGATAAACCGTTTTCTTGTGAAATATGTGGAAAATGTTTTAGTCGAAAAGGTAGTATGGAATTACATATAAAGCGATTCCATGTTGGTGAAAAGCCATATTTTTGTGGAACCTGTGGAAAGTCCTTTGTAACATTGGGTGAGAAGAAAATGCATATTCAAAGTCATACTGGAGAAAAATTATATGCTTGCAGGATATGCGAAAAACGTTTCACTCGATCTTATACCTTGAAGCAACATCTGCACACCCATACTGGAGAAAAACCATATGGTTGCAAGATATGTGGGAAACGCTTTTCTCGATCTAGTATCCTGAAACAACATTTGCACATGCACACTGGAGAAAAACCATATTCCTGTGAAACATGTGGAAAATATTTCAGCCGAAAAAGTGGTGTAAACTTACATATAAAGAGATCCCATGTTGGTGATAAGCCCTTTAAATGTGGAACTTGTGGCAAGTCATTTACAACATTTGATGAAAAGAAAAGGCATATGCAAATCCATACTGGAGAAAAAACATATGCTTGCAAAATATGTGAGCGTTGCTTTGTTAATTCAAGTCACTTGCAACAACATATTCGAGTTCACACTGGAGAAAAAGCATATTCTTGTAAAACATGTGGAAAATGTTTCGTACGAAAGAGTACTATGAACTTACATATAAAGAGATCCCATGTTGGCCATAAGCCCTTTAAATGTGGAACTTGTGGCAAGTCCTTTACAACATTAGGTGAAAAGAAAAAGCATATGCAAATCCATACTGGAGAAAAACCATTTGCTTGCAAAATATGTGAGCGTTGCTTTGCTGATTCCAGTAGCTTGCAAAAACATTTTCGAATTCACACTGGAGAAAAACCATATTCTTGTGAAACCTGTGGAAAATGTTTCAGTAGAAAAAATATTATGAGCGCACACATGAAGAGATCCCACGTAGCAAGTTGCTGAGAAGATAATGCATATGCGAACTCATATTAGAGAAAAACGTTTTTTTTAACATGAAACGTCCTTTGCAAATTCATACCATTGGGTGGAAAGATAAGACACATCGAAGTTCATACTGGAGAGAAACCATATGCTTGCAAAAGGAGTAAAAAATGTTTCCCAATATTTATATTGAAGTGAAACATGTAGGAAATGTTTTATACATCAGGGCAGGGTGGTCCAAACCCAGGCCCGCGGGCCAAATGTGGCCCGCCGCTTTATTATCCGTGGCTCGCGTCACATTCGGAGAGTTATCAAAAAATCGCATTTCGTGTTGTTTCGTCATAAAATCAATCAGAAAAATCTTTTGACATATTGTCATCACTAATGTCACTGAATTAAATAGTGTTATGGCTAGCTTGGAAAACTAGCGAAGTTGAATGATGTGCTTGGCAGTCTAAATTGTTATCTGGCTTTCTAACTTTTTGGTCGGGAATATATGCTAACAATATAGGCATCATAGAAAACTAAAAATCAAATGCGGATTCTATTAGCCTAGAATGGCTATGCCTGATAACTATGTGTTTGCACAATAAAACTGTTTGTTTCGCATTGCACTGTTTACCTATTCTTGGCACTATTGTGGCCCGCGAACAATGCAAAAATAATTTTGTGGCCCACAGAGGCGACAACCTTGGACCACCCTGCATTAGGGAATACATGATCATTTAAATTATCTATGAAATGTCTAGTGTCAATTTATAACATATGAATCAGTCGTTTAAAGATTCATTCAGAATCAAGATGTTCCTTTTCTTGTCAAATTAATTGATTATATGGGCACATTATCTCTCTTGTACTCGAATTTTATCATTTTTATATAGATTCAAAATCGGTGTTAATGTTTGCAGTCTTAATAATAATCATTGTTCCTTGCTTGTATTCAAGCAATATTTAACTTTTTTCTAATTTAGGATGATTGTAAAAGTAGATGAATATCATAATTGTATAACTGGTTATTATTGCTTGAAAAAATGTGCATAGTTTTAAATGCCTACCGGTTTGGGACTTTAGCTCTTAGATAAAACCGGTCGCATATCCAACATAGACTGGTAACAGTGTGAGATGTTTCATATCGCCTTTCCTCTCCCTTTGGATAAATATGTAATTTATTATGATATATCACCATTTTGACTTGGGTTTCTACGAGAAAGTTTATTTAACTTCCTTCTATTCTTTTGTGCCGTAAATGCAATGTAGAGGTAAGATCTAGCCTAAAAATCCCAGCCCGACCCGACGCGGGCCTGTGGGTATATAACCCGACAAGAGCCCGACTGATTACCTGGATTTGCAGGCCAGAGCCTAAGCAAACCCAAAATTTTATATTTTATTTAGGAGTTCTTTGAGTTGTCATTGCAAGAGTTTAGTAATCGCGTTGTGTTTCAGAAATTTAAATATAAATCAGATGTCTTCCTAGGAGTTTTAATTTAATTGCAGTAATAAAAAAAAAAATAGTGTAGAAATATGTGTGCTAGATCAGGCCTACCTTTCTTTACGAGTAGTTAAAAAAAACAGATTGTTGTATACGATGAATCATAATGATGGTTTGAAACAAATACCCCATTAAAAAAAAACGAAAAAAATTGTTTAAAGTATAACAAGAATATTTCGGGGGTCAAAGGTCGGGGAGAGGTTCATTACAGCTTCTCTGTTTTATTCACATTATTTCTTTTATAACAAGTATTCATTAGTTTAGTCCACACATAGTTTTTTAGTATATATTTTATAACATATATTTATTTGAAAAAAGTCAGCAATAGAGCCCGGCCTGAACGTAATGATTATTATTTCAGGCCCGACCCAAAATTTCGGCTCGGGCTTTCAAAGATGCTGATGCAAAAACGGGGATTCTTGAGTTTTGCTCCAGTAATGTTTGGACTTATAGCAATAGGGAAGATAAATTTACTGAGTAATAGTCTTGCTGAATACTAACGTAAATATATCTTGGAGACATTTCGTCCAACTGAGGTCAGACTGTAGCAAATAAAAAATACATTGCTCGTGGTTGATAGCGTTCTTGGCTGTGGAATATTTTATAGTGATATGCTGTATATTCTGAATCTTACAAAGACACTACATACACGGTTTCCCGAATACATGTATATTTAATGCGCATTTAAACAATGGGTAACATAATAATGGAAGTTACAATGGGAAAAAATAAATCGGCAATTAACAGCGGAGGACTGTGATAAAAGATTTGAATACAATGAAGTTTAAGATAATTTTGTGTTCTATTTAAATTGTTGATGACAGTTTTGGTCTAATATATAAACAAAAGAAATTGATTGTTTTTGAAATACAATTTTTCGGTAGATCTCGAAATAGATATTTCTTTCAGTTGAAACGTCCAGGGTTTAATAATTCTATTATTCCACGTACTGCGTGCCAAACTTGTATATATCAAGTGTATGGCTTTTCCCAGTACGACTTCACATATGTCTTTTCAAAAAGAATGAGACTCTTATTCTGTATGAATTTTCATATGTACCTTAAAATTACTGGATTGTGCATAACATTTGCCACATATTTCACAAGCATACGGCTTTTCTCCAGCATGAATTTGTGCATGTTTTTTCAAATCACTTGTAGTAGCTAAGAGCTTTCCACATATTCCACAAGAATGTGGCTTCTCTTTTGTATGAATTCACACATGCTTGTTTGCCACAGAATTTACAAGAGTATGGTTTCTCTCCCGTATGTGTCCTATGCCTATTCAAATTACTCTTGGATGTGAACCCCCTACCACATAGTTCGCAAGAATGTGGCTTTTCTCCGATTTGTGAGCTCATATGGACATTCACATCACCAGCTCCTGCAAAGCACATGTGACATATTTTACAGCAATATGGCTTCTTATATGGGTATTCATACCACTAAGGCTGCTCCGTTATCTCCCAACTCATTATAAGATAAATCAAGGCCGAAGAGTGTAGTGCATTGTTGTAGGTTGCAGTTCGCAATTTATCAATGACTGTTTAACGTTTGTCACATTTTTCACAAAAGTGTGGCTTTTCCCCAGTATGAGTTCTTATATGGACATTCAAATCACATATTTTACAGAAATATGGTTTCTCTCCTGTATGAGTATTCATATTATTATATGGCAGTTCAAATTTCAAGATCCCAAAGCGTTTTCCACATATCTCACACGAGTATGGCCTTTCTCGTGTATGAATACGCATATGTCTTTTCAAATTACTGGAATATGTAAGCAGGGATGGTCATTTCCGAATACTAAACTATTGTGAATACATTCCAAAATAATGTTTTCGAATCTGGAATTCCGAATACATTCTGAAATCGAAAATAAAGGGGGATGCACACATGCACGGCTACGGCTGGTCTACGACAGCTGGCGGGTGTGATACAGACCAAAGCGACTATAAACCAAGTGAGGACATGCATTGGTAACGTTATAAGCGCTCGAGTGACGTCACACCAGCCATTTTGTGTCCAGAGTTCTATCGCTGTATGATACTAACTAGGTGATTTAAACCTGCGATCGTAAAACAGCTGAATAAAAAAAACGATGCTCAATAATTCGAACAAACTTTCGCAGCGGCAAAACGAATCAACATTCTTCTGAAAAATTAATTATCCGCAGATGTTTCTCGGATAACTCGGCTCGGCGGTATGGTCAGCATATACGAAGTTAAGGTTAACCCTTTCCGTGCGGTGGGCACGTATACGTACCAACGACAAAACTCGCTAGATTGCGGCGGGTACGTTGATGTACTCCACTGTTTTATTTAGCAATCGGTCGCAAACTGTTGGTCTAGTTTTTCCGGGTTTTAGTTTATTGATAAGAAGTCTTCTTCGAGATTAACATAAGCGACGGTAAATCTCGCTTTCGTTTACCATGGGAATTTTATTTGTGGCGGAACGAGGGAGTGTTTTTGAAATTTATGCAAATTTCGGTGGTAATATATCCCTTCCATCTACCAAAGTATTTTGAGTTAGATAACGAAATTGCTACAGCAATATTATGCTATTGTTTGCCAACCAAGAAGCGGTAACAGTAAAGGATTTGGCGAATATTTCTATTTTTTATCACGGTTTGAAGTTTCAACACCCAAGAAAAAATCTATCCGGTTTGTGACTCAGACCACCCCTTTTAAAAAAAAAATTTTTTTAATCGCCAATTGCAAGCTCTTAAAATAAGCTTTCCAACGAACCGTCAGTGGGCAGCAGAGGATCATTACTTTTTCGTTAGTCGATCGATTAGTTGTGGGGGTACAAATGCAAAATGTCGGCGTAGCAAATACGATTATTTAATAAAAATCGCATGGAAAGGGTTAAAGTATAACAAGAATATTTTCGGGGGTCAAAGGTCGGGGAGAGGTTCATTACAGCTTCTTCTCTGTTTTATTCACATTATTTCTTCTATAACAAGTATTCAGTAGTTTAGTATCCACACATAGTTTTAGTATTTATTTTATAACATATATTTATTTAAAAAAAGTCAGCAATAGAGCCCGGCCCGAACGTAATGATTAATATTTCAGGCCCGACCCAAAATTTCGGCTCGGGCTTTCAAAGATGCTGATGCAAGAACAGGGATTCTTGAGTTTTGCTCCAGTAATGTTTGGACTTATAGCAATAGGGAAGATAAATTTACTGAGTAACTATAATAGTCTTGCTGAATACTAACGTAAATATATCTTGGAGACGTTTCGTCCAACTGAGGTCAGACTGTAGCAAATAAAAAATACATTGCTCGTGGTTGATAGCGTTCTTGGCTGTGGAATATTTTATAGTGATATGCTGTATATTCTGAATCTTACAAAGACACTACATACACGGTTTCCCGAATACATGTATATTTAATGCGCATTTAAACAATGGGTAACATAATAATGGAAGTTACAATGGGAAAAAATAAATCGGCAATTAACAGCGGAGGACTGTGATAAAAGATTTGAATACAATGAAGTTCAAGATAATTTTGTGTTCTAATATATAAACAAAAGAAATTGATTGTTTATGAAATACAATTTTCCGGTAGATCTCGAAAGTTGAAACGTCCAGGGTTTAATAATTCTATTATTCAACGTTTTGCCTGCCAAACTTGTATATATCAAGTGTATGGCTTTTCCCAGTACGACTTCACATATGTCTTTTCAAAAAGAATGAGACTCTTATTCTGTATGAATTTTCATATGTACCTTAAAATTACTGGATTGTGCATAACATTTGCCACATATTTCACAAGCATACGGCTTTTCTCCAGCATGAATTTGTGCATGTTTTTTCAAATCACTTGTAGTAGCTAAGAGCTTTCCACATATTCCACAAGAATGTGGCTTCTCTTTTGTATGAATTCGCACATGCTTGTTTGCCACAGAATTTACAAGAGTATGGTTTCTCTCCCGTATGTGTCCTTCTATGCCTGTTCAAATTACTCTTGGATGTGAACCCCCTACCACATAGTTCGCAAGAATGTGGCTTTTCTCCGATTTGAGAGCTCATATGGACATTCAGATCACCAGCTCCTGCAAAGCACATGTGACATATTTTACAGCAATATGGCTTCTTATATGGGTATTCATAGCACAAAGGTTGCTCCGTCATCTCCCAACTCATTATAAGATAAATCAAGGCTGAAGAGTGTAGTGCATTGTTGATTCGCAATTTATCAATGACTGTTTAACGTTTGTCACATTTTTCACAAAAGTGTGGCTTTTCCCCAGTATGTGTTCTTATATGGACATTCAAATCACATATTTTCCAGAAATATGGTTTCTCTCCTGTATGAGTATTCATATTATTATATGGCAGTTCAAATTTCAAGATTCCAAAGCGTTTTCCACATATCTCACACGAGTATGGCCTTTCTCGTGTATGAATACGCATATGTCTTTTCAAATTACTGGAATACCTCTCTAATAACCTAATTCACCACTTTCAAAGACATAGAGACGTTGCATTCGGAGGCGTAACTTATATGTTCTTGTTTCAGATAACAGTGCTTAACTTGTAAGCGATTTTTCGTTTTGTCTATATCTTGTTTAGCTTATCGTTTGAACTTTACATCAGCTGAATGTTATCTTTGACGCTTCTCGGTTTAGATATGTTTCGTTGATAAGCAATATGATATATATATGGAGTGACTTCTATTTCATATTCATTGCCATGATATAGTTTCTTCAGCTTCATTGGAAATGTCGTCCGAACTATATAGTTTGCTTTTTATACCAGTGAAATAGAGCCAGCTAGATTTCTGTATGCTGCATGTTTTGTCATTAAATTTGTTATGAATTTGCAAACATTGGCCGAACCATATAGTTTGCTTCTCACCGGTTGCTGGTATAAAAATGACTGGTATATTTGTACTACTGCATGTTTTTGTTTTTAAAGCTGTTTAGTCAGTTCTGCAGATTCTCTGAGACTCCAGATGTGATTTTGTATTGAGAATGTTAATATCTTATTTTAGTGATGATTATTCCTTTTATATCCCTTTCATACCTATTTCATAAACTTCGAAAATCATAATTGAATTCAAGATATCTTGTTAAATTCACCGTGGCTAGAATAATAATATTGTTCTAATTTAATGAAACAGTTCATAAAAGTCGGATATGTCAAATTTACGTGAGAAAATTTATACCAAAGAGAAGTCACTTTTCTGTGGAATATGTGGAAAACATTTTGCAACGTCAAGTAATTTGAATCTGCATGTGAGAATTCATACAGAAGAGAAGTCATACTCTTGTGAGGATTGTGGGAAAAGTTTCAAACGATCTTGCTCATATACGAATTCATACTGGAGAGAAGCCATATTCTTGTGAAGTTTGTGGCAAAAGTTTTAAACAATCCTGTAACCTGCAGGCTCATATACGAATTCATACTGAAGAGAAGCCATATTCTTGTGAAGTTTGTGGCAAAAATTTTAAACAATCTTGTAGTCTGAAGGCTCATAAAGAATTCATACTGAAGAGAAGCCATATTCTTGTGAAATTTGTGGCAAAAGTTTTAAACAATCCTGTAACCTGAAGGCTCATATACGAATTCATACTGGAGAGAAGCCATATTCTTGTGAAGTTTGTGGCAAAAGTTTTAAACAATCCTGTAGTCTGAACGCTCATATACGAATTCATACTGGAGAGAAGCCATATTCTTGTGAAGTTTGTGGCAAAAGTTTTAAACAATCCTGCAGTCTGAACGCTCATATACGAATTCATACTGAAGAGAAGCCATATACTTGTGAAATTTTTGGCAAAAGTTTTAAACAATCTTGTAACCTGAAGGCTCATATACGAATTCATAGTCTTGTGAAGTTTGTGGCAAAAGTTTTAAACAATCCTGTATTTTGAAGGCTCATATACGAATTCATACTGGAGAGAAGCCATATTCTTGTGAAGTTTATAGCAAAAGTTTTAAACAATCCTTTAGTCTGAACGCTCATATACGAATTCTTATTCCTGTAAGATATGTAGCAAATGTTTTACAGTATCAAATAATCTGGTTATGCACATGCGAATTCATACAGGAGAGAAACCTTATTCTTGTGAAATATGTGACAGATGCTTCACACAACTACCGGAGAAAGGCCATATTCTTGTAAGATATGTGGAAAATGTTTTGCGACTTCCAGTACTTTAAATAATCATGTGCGAATTCATACAGGAGAGAAGCCATATTCCTGTAAAATATGTAAAAGGTGCTTTACGCAAGTTTGTAATTTGAATGATCATATACGGATTCATACCGGAGAAAAGCCATACTCATGTGAGATTTGCGGAAAAAGTTTTAAACATTCTAGCAGTCTGAAGACTCATATACGAATTCACACTGGAGAAAGGCCATATTCTTGTAAGATATGTGGAAAATGTTTTGCGACTTCCAGTACTTTAAATAATCATGTGATAATAATGATCATATACGAATTCATACCGGAGAAAAGCCATACTCATGTGAGATTTGCGGAAAAAGTTTTAAACATTCTAGCAGTCTGAAGACTCATATACGAATTCACACTGGAGTGAAGCCATATTCTTGTAAAACGCGTGGCAAATGTTTTGAAAGTGGTTTGAATGCTCATATACGAATTCATATTCCTGTAAGATATGTAGCAAATGTTTTACAGTATCAAATAATCTGGTTATGCACATGCGAATTCATACAGGAGAGAAACCTTATTCTTGTGAAATATGTGACAGATGCTTCACACAACTAGACCATTTGAATAATCATATGACAACGCATACCGGAGAAAGGCCATATTCTTGTAAGATATGTGGAAAATGTTTTGCGACTTCCAGTACTTTAAATAATCATGTGCGGATTCATACAGGAGAGAAGTCATATTCCTGTAAAATATGTAAAAGGTGCTTTACGCAAGTTTGTAATTTGAATGATCATATACGGATTCATACCGGAGAAAAGCCATACTCATGTGAGATTTGCGGAAAAAGTTTTAAACATTCTAGCAGTCTGAAGACTCATATACGAATTCACACTGGAGAAAGGCCATATTCTTGTAAGATATGTGGAAAATGTTTTGCGACTTCCAGTACTTTAAATAATCATGTGATAATAATGATCATATACGAATTCATACCGGAGAAAAGCCATACTCATGTGAGATTTGCGGAAAAAGTTTTAAACATTCTAGCAGTCTGAAGACTCATATACGAATTCACACTGGAGTGAAGCCATATTCTTGTAAAACGCGTGGCAAATGTTTTGAAAGTGGTTTGAATGCTCATTCTCAAATTCATACACGAAAAAAAACTTAAATGCGAGAAAAAATTAGAAAACGTTTTAAAAACGAATGATTCGAATATATTTTTATCAAGTGATACTTCAATTGACTTTTGAAGGCAAGTTGTATTTTTTGCATGAAGCTTATCGAAATAAAAACACTATTTCTACACTGGGTTAATACAGTACATGGATTTGAGACATATCTTTGTGCCGTTTGCATAAACTGCATTCAAAATACAATTTATCATGATCTGGAATTTTTTGTGTGTGGATTTCTCTGTTTCAGTTTGTGTGTTTTCTTTCGCAATTTCTTATTTGTCAATATAATTACATTTAGTTATAGACATACTGATTTGCATTCGACATATCCTTCATTCAGCTAGCTTAGCAATTTTCTACAACTTGGTGACACGCACTACCGAACAACCTGCACAGGTTATTTTCGAAAGGACGGGGGTTTACGCAACTGTCCTTAATCCAGCCCTAATGTGGCTTTAATTATCTAGCTCAGTGGTTCTTAAACTTTTTGAGCCGCGCCGCCCTTTAAAAAACTTTTACAAACTTCGCACCCCCCCTCCCCTATTTTTGCTTCGAAAAAATGCTTTTGTGATGGGCAGGTTGCTATATATTGCTATAAGAGTGTTGGTCTCATAGCGTCATTGCTCAGATGGTTTAGGCATAAAACGCTTCGGAGTACAACTTCGGCATTCACTGTCGTATGTATAAAGCCAAATAATGGTTGGTCATCATATATTCTCGTTTGCAATAATAACTGGTTTGTAATTTATGTAAATTTAAAAGCAGTTCATTATTTTAATAGGTAATTCCATTTACCTATTAAATCCATAGGCAATTCAATTTACATGTGGACGTTTCCCCGGCCCTTGACCGCTGAAAAATGAAGTCGCCAAAGCGTTTAAATCTCGATTGTTTTCGTAGGCGTGGCCTGCTATTTAAGCCGTAAAAATCTCCCAAAATCAGAAATTTCCCTCAAGACGATTATAATTACTTTTTTTGTTTTCGAATAGAACCATGACATCTCTGAGGAAAACGAGTTATATTAACATCGGCGACGAGATGCTAAAGATAGAATAAAATAGTGAGTCTGCAACCAAATATTTCTTTATTGTAAAAGCGAGATTATAAAATACTAAAAATAAAACAGAAAACACCATGAGTTTTGTTTTGGGGTGGACCGCGACAGATTAAAAACCCTTTTTTTTAGACATTGCAAATCTTATAAATTCCTTGCGCCATCAGTAGTGTTCTAAAACTACCGACTTGAAATTAATCGAGCATTGCCATGGAGCGGATGGTGAAATTGGCAAGAATACAAATCAAAAATGTAATCGGGCACTTTGCCACACATTTTTATGGTTGCGGATTACCGTGGTATTTTGGAATTTTATTTTATCGACGCAATCGCAGATTTAAATTATCACAATTAAATGAATAAAGCAACCATTATATCGGTCATGGATTGAATATTTTATTCAAAATGAAAACCATTACATATTCGTTGACAAAGTCGGCTCTTATAACGACTGGCGTATTCACGAGGACTGACTCAGAATTCGTACCGCAGGGATTTCGAGTATTTTAATTGTACTAAATTAAGTATACTTTCTGGGATATTATACCAGATCTTTCTAATAAAGACAACGAATTCGCATGAGTGCAATATATATCAAAACTAAATTGATCACAATTTAATATGTCCGCGGATTGGCATTTTTCCGATTTCATCTTGTTACCTCTCGCGAACCAACCTGTGAGCATCTCGCACCCCCAGTTTAAGAACCACTGATCTAGCTATTAGCGGGAAAAAATCGTGATCTTTGTCTATTCCCACTATTCATTTGGTCAAAAATTGTTTAGTAGTATAGCACACCACCAGTGTCTGCTGAAGAAAACTATGGGCTAACTGGACCCCGAGTCTGAGTTAGGTCTTGCTGACAGGTAGTAGAAACATTTGACTGTTGTAATAACAAGTTTCTGACGATGAGTGGTGGCTCGGTCTCCTCGACACTGGTAGTTCCTATTTTCACAAAGACGGATGCATATATAGATAGTTTATTATACCAAGCATAAATTAAAAATTGAAATTTCTGGGGGGCATGCAAAACCTGAGAAGTATCACCAAAAACACAAGCCCAATTAAATGAGGCTTGGCCCTGGCGTGGAATATTTATTCTTCACAAAAATAAAAAAGGCCATATTTTCCGATTCTTTTAAAATTAGCGATTACTATAAATTTGTTTATTTTGCTGCTAGTCAATTAGAAGAGACAATAGAAGGAAAGTAGAGTCGGTATCAGCGCCAAGCAATAAACACAATTAAAAATCTGTCGGTAATAAATTGCGTTAAGATGATAAAATATACAGAAAAAGCTTTGATTGCAAGAGTGAAACGAGTTTGTAAAACAAGATTTTCGTATTTAGGAAATCCAAAACGGGAGTTACTTACTTGATTGTTTGAACATTTCAGACAGTTCCGAATTTGGAATAACTGAAAACCCAACATACGTGGCTTTTACCAGAATTTTGAGATACGATAAATCGAATACAGACCAGGGCACACCAACTTCTACCTTGCAACTATCAGATGTACTTTGCTTCTGATATGCGGACCCATGATATATCGAGAATACGAAGTATTTCTCATATCGTCGGACCCATGATATATCGTATTTCTCATATCGTCGAGCTAATCGTGCTGTTGTTACCACGAAAACATAATAAATGTGAGTCAATTAGAATGAAATGAGTTTAATGACCTTATAGAAGCAAAACATACATAACCTACCTACTATACAGTTGGATACAGAGACACAATTGCCAAAATTTAATATTTTGTTTATATGGACAAGAAAAGTGAAAATCATTATTCACACATATCAAACTTGCATCTGCGTATCCTCCAGAATGAATTTAGTCATATTTTTTCCGCTGTTGTCATCGCACATAGATTTTCATTTTGTCTTTTTCCATGGAACACTCTCTACATTTAGGTTTTATCTAGTGTGAATTTTCATATGTTCATTCAAGTTGCTAGATTGTGTGAAACATTTGCTACATATTTCACAAGAATAAGGCTTATCACCTGGATGGATTCGCATATGTGTGTTCAAATTACCTGATTGTGAAAAACATTTGCCACATATCTCACAAGAATAAGGCTTATCACCTGAATGGATTCGCATATGTGTGTTCAAATTACCTGATTGTGATAAACATTTGCCACAAATTTCACAAGAATATGGCTTCTCTCCTGTATGAATTCTCCTATGCGCATTCAACTTACTAGATTGTGTGAAGCATTTACCGCATATTTTACAGGAATATTTTTTCCCTGTGTGAATTTGTATATGACGTTTCAAATAACTGGATTGTGTAAAACGTTTTCCACATATCTCACAGGAATATGGTTTATCTCCCGTATGAATTCGCATATGACGCTTCAAATCACTGGATCGCAAAAAACATTTCCCGCATACCTCACAGGAATATGGTTTTTCCCCTGTATGAATTTGCACATGACGTTTCAAATATCCAGTATTGGAAAAACATTTCCCACATATATCACAAGAGCATGGCCTTTCACCAGTATGTATTCCTCTGATATGCCGATCCAAACCAAATGCTTGCGTAAAACATTTACCACATATTTTGCAGGAATATGGCTTCTCTCCTGTATGAATTCGTTCATGAGCATTCACAGCACTTTTGTCCACAAAACATCTGCCACATATTTGGCATGAATATGGTTTTTCTCCGGTATGAGTTCGTATATGAACATTCAGACTGCTGGATACTGCAAAACATTTTCCACATATCCTACAAGAGTGTGGTTTTTCTTCAGTATGAATTCTCATATGCATCTTCAAATGACTTGCTGTTTTGAAGCCTTTTCCACATATTTCACAAAATAGTTGCTTTTCTTTTGACATATCAGACGGCCATTCCGTTTAATTGAGATAAATTTAATCTGTGAACAGTAGCAATCCAATAAGGTTGTACAGTACAATATTTTGAACACGCAAAAAAGGAAAATCAAAATATAATATTGTAATGAAATATTATTCATTTATGAAATTTGAACATTGATAAGAGCAAAATGACTATAAACCAAGTGAGGACATGCATCGGTAACGTTATAAGCGCTCGCGTGACATCACACCAGCTATTTTGTGCCCAGAATTCTATCGCTGTATGATCCCAACTAAGTAATTTAAACCTGCGATCGTTAAACAGCTGAATAAAAAAAACGATGCTCTATAATTTGGACCAAACTTTCGCAGCGGAAAAACGAATGAACATTCTTCTGAAAAATTAATTATCCGCAGATGTTTCTCGGATAACTCGGTTTGGCGGTATGGTCAGCAGGTCAAAGTCATCCAACTTTACTTGATAAATTAACACCCAATAAAACCTAAATATTAAACAAAAGATACACATTTTATTATAAAATTCCTGATGTAAGTATCGCTACTTACACAAAACCTATTTTAACAAACTAACTACAGAAACTTGCACCATTTTTACATGCATGGAATGAAGCATAACGGCGTATATCAAGTTTACAAGAACATCTAATAATCTGGAGTGTATGAAAAATAATATATTATATATTTTACTTGAGCTCTTGCCGCAGGTCTACTAGCATACCGTTTTTCGATAATTTTATTTGTCTCCTCTTTCGCGTAAAGATTTAACCTCAAATTGAGAAAACGTTTCAAAGTTTTAAAACGATATTGTGGCAAGATGGAAAATTATATTTCAAGCAACTTTATCTGTCAGAAAAGTAACAGGCGAACATATATTATGAAAGGAATTAATATTGGCGCGAAATATAGTTTATGCGAAATCGGGTGGCATAAATATTGGGTAAAACTATCAATCAAGTTTTATCAACGAGAACGTAGAAGACATGATGGCGTCGCTAGATCACCTAGAAAATATTTTACATTTTCCGACGCAATGAAATCGAAATATCCTGCCAATAATTAGTTGATAAGAGCTGCAACACCAGTCGCGATGGCTGGTTTCAAATTTTGTACCTTATAATGTACATGCTTTGATGAAATAGCCATGAGATTGTTTACATTCTATAATTTTTGGAGCAACTGTTGCAACAGCTCGCTAAATTAAGAAAAATTTTCCCGAGAAAATTCATTTTATAATCAGTTTCTGGAATGATTAATGTAAAACACAGGCTTTAAACTTTCGCATGGTGTGAACTAGGGATGCCACATTTAGATTTTCGAATTGTTGCCTTTTCGAATCGATTCGAATCACACTCGGGCGATTCGGAAAACTATAGCGCGACTTTACAAAATAACGCAGACTCTCGATTTTACTAATGGTCAGTATCTTGCGACCATGCGAGCGACAATGATTTCACTCGAAAGTAAATAAAGAAGCGCTAGTCTGGCTGTCTCTCGAATGGATTTGCACTTCATAATGGAATATAGTACTTTGTTTGATAAAATTAGCATTCATTTGAACGATGAATAGATATATTTTAGAGAGTGCATTGCCTTCTCTCTTCCCGTGAAGTGATCTCGTTTTGCGGTAATTTCGCACCGTACCAGCGGGGAGTACACACCTGCGAGACATCTGCTGATAGTCTGCAAAACGCCTTGCTCGCTCGCAAAGTCGAATTCACATATCGCCCGGCCTTGTTTGATGCGTAAGGACAACAATTTTCGACAGGTCTGAACATGCCCAACTTTCCCCTTTTCCGCTCTACCACTGATTGTGTAACACTCTTTAAAAGCCAGCTATTCTTTCGTCGTAGGTCGCTCATTACTGGACGGTAATTCATTTGCGTTGATTGATTTCACTACTTAGCTACTGTAATACCGATATTCAATAATACCTGTACATTATTAGAAACTAATTTGTATCCTTAAAAATATGCAACGGTTAGGTCTTTAATTCTGAATACTGTTTTTCTCACCAGCCCTCAGACAATAATTTTTAGGTATTTTTGTTGTCAGACTCGAGGTACCGGTACCGCATACCGGTGCCGTGCGCTGCTGTTACAACTCACTGGACTGCAAGATGTACGGCCAGTCAGCGGTAGCCTATTAGTATTACTTAATTATATGGCTATTTGAAATGCATTTTTTTTATTCAGAATGTCTAATATCAGTAGTAGCTTTAAAAAAATAATACCCAGGCGGCAGGGACGACGCCCTAATTCTGTAGTTTGGGAGCATTTTTCTCGCCCGTCAAAAGAGGGGGGATATACATATGTGATTTGCAACTTCTGTAAAGAGAAGTTGTCATACTGCGAGTCTACTGGCAATCTTTTGAACCACCTCAGAAGAAGGCATGCATTCATCAACACTGATACAGCATACAGCACATACATCAAAGTAAGCCAAAACTTTTTTTTTAATAAGAGTTTCATCTGTCCGAATCTAGGAAATGAAATAAGCAATAGTATGCTTAACTAACATACTGGCAGGACTTAACAGATAAATCCTGAAATCAGTAATTAGAATTAATTTTATATTAGTTGAAGCTGTTACAAAAGTTAGAATCGTTTTAGTTGTGATGTTGACAGTTGTGACACCCATCCCTCATATTTTACTAGCCAAAGGCCAGGCATCAGGCAAATTTTTGTCAGAGACAATTGTCCCCTGTATGTCATATTGTCTAATCAATAAAGCTTGACAGCAGGTCAAGCCAGCAAAAAATTTACTACATGTGCAATATGTAGCTGCTGTTTATATTTTATATATTTTACTTTCAGCTTAGCAGCAAGCCAAGTGATTGAAAGTAGTGGAAGTGGAACAAAACAAAAAAAACTTGATCCTTTTTTCAAATCAACATCTATTAGCAGACAAAGACAGGATCATATAGACAAATTAATAGTCAAAGTTATATAATAGGGGATATGAGACCGATCAATATTGTTGAGGGAGAGCATTTCAGAAATCTAACATCAAACCTTGAGCCGGGGTACGAGATGCCAGGGAGAACATTTTTTGGAAAACAGATTGAAACTAGAGCTCCGTGTTTGCCGATATATCATATCAGCGTTAGTCGCTTTTCCACGTTCTAAAAAATGAGTATTTTTCCCCGGGAAATATCTGCGGCCAAGCGTTTTCTTTTTTTTGCTTCTCTCATTTTGCCTTTCAATGAACAGAGAGTTCTCTTCTATATTTCTCTCTCTCTTTTATCTCTTCGTGCGGCGCAAAATCCTCGCCTTCGAATATCTTGCGTCCCCACTAGGCTTGCACGTAATCGACAAAAATCAATTCCGTAATTACGGAAAAATTGATTACGTAATGACCCCGTAATTGCGATATTTTTCACACGATTAAACCTATCATAAAAACCATTTGAATCCACTTCTTTTCCGAATGGGACATCGAAGTTTGGTTTTCATATTACCGACAGTACTACACGCCGGCGACAGATGTTAAAGACAAATACCAAGGAGTGAATTCAAATTAAATTTATACTGATTTTTTTCTTGTTTTATTGTGTTGGCTTTGATTTTCCTTTATCACCTTCGCAAATTAACCGTCCCAATTTTATGCGATCAATTTTATCATTACCGTATTTACGGACACTGGTATACGGATATTTATGAAACGATAGTTGCCTTTTTTTAAATCGGCTTTCGTATTGAATAAAAATTTCGGGTTTCTAAGTTATTAATCAACGGCAAGCGTATTCTCTCGTTTGATTATACCTGTTATTTCTCCGTTTTTTACATTATCCGACTTTGCTACCTAGTCAGCATTTTATAATAATTATTGATGCTGAATTATTGACGATATTCCGAGTACCAAGCTTTATTTTATATCAAATCATTTCGCGGCCTAAATATTAATTATTTAGCCGGCGATAAATTCTTACCCGTAACTCTTTGTAAATTAATGCTAATAAATTCTATTTTGTTTTTTAATGCGCTGTGATTTGTATTAATAAAAGTGATTGAGTCGGGAAAAGAAAGTAGCCTAGCCTTCTCTCCTTTTGAGCGCTTATAGCGGCGGTAAAATTCGTCTCGTGTCTGTTTCACGGAGAGAAAGAAAAATAAGCCTTCCGGAATTACAATCAACTATCACACATTCTTATTTATCATTATCAGCGCCGAATAAAAAAGATACCAAATCGTGAAGACAAAAAAGTCTGTCGGTGTTAATTGCGTTACGGTGATAACGCTTATAAGAATATCGTTTTGACCGTGAAATCAAACGCTCAAACGGGGTGGCAACGCGTCATGCCGGCTCGAAACGGCTGCGAATACCGGAACTCTAACTTCTTCTACTTGTTAAACTTTCATTTTCTACAATCGACGGAATTGACTGCTTGGAAGGAGCACGTTTCAAACGCGAAACAGCTCGACCAATAATTACGACTTTACGTAATTTGTAACTTCCCTTCCGTAATAAATAATTCTCGAAATAATTCCGTAAATTACGTGCAAGCCTACTCCCACCTACTACTGTATGGATCAAAATAGACTTCTATAAGCTTTTTACTGACTGCCTTTTTTCTTTTGTGTGAGACGACCACGTCTATAACTCTGTTTTATTCTGTATGCTAATATAAATTCTTACCACTTGAGTCACTAGTGAGCAGCTGTGTAACTTTCTTTTTTTAGCTGGTTTGTCAGACTGCCGGCAGTGTGGAATTTCCTTTGTGTTTTGAGTTATTATTATAGTGTTTTCGTGCCGTTAATCTGTGTAATTCTTGTTGTGAAATGATATTAGTAGTACAGGTTTACTATTTCTCCAGTTTGGCATAGCTCTGTTCACTAGTTAGCTTGTATTTAACGTTTCCGTAACTAGTCTATTTTCGCAGTTTATTTCCTGTGTGATTTCCATATTTCTATGCGTATTTCCATGTATATTACGTGTTTGTCGATAAGATAGGATTTGTGTTGTATCTTTAGTGTCATACTAGTTATTCTTATGTATATCTGGGTGTGTTTTACCCGGTTTTTAGTATCCCATT